GGGTGGTTTGGATAAACAGAGCTCAGATCCAGCCAGAAAATTATAGACAGCAGGGGCTGTGTGTGGACCAGGACCGATAAAGTAACTTGGGGAAGATCAGGCTGTCCATCCCAAGTGCTCCTCCTTTCTTTATGCAATTCTTCCTAGGACATCAGAACTCCACACCTCACTTCCTTTCTTCCTGAACATCCTGAGTCTGAATTCCAGTTCTAGATCATTCTGAGGGAACTGCCCTTGCTGGAGTGCAAAGACCTTCCCTGAGAGGAGAGCCTTCAGAGAGGAGCCATTACCATCAGGTCAAGGTCACTACTGCTGAGGTAAGTGAACGGTTTCTAAGTTCAGCTTGGCCAATAACCCTACATGTGTGATAACATGAAGAGTGGAGCACTGAGCCAGGAGGTGGTGGTGCACGCCTTTAAGTCCTGCACTCGAGAGGCAGAGACGGGGGGATCTCTGTGAGTTCGAGGCCAGCCTGGTCTACAAATGAGTTCTAGGGTAGCCAGGAATGTTATACAGAGAAACCTTTCTTGAAAAAACAAAAAAAAGAAAGGAGAAGAGCACTAAACTGGGACAGGAGAGCTTGGGGATTTCTACTGAGGGAGCATTCACAGTAGCATCCTTCTGGAGCCGTCTTTTGTGCCACAGAGAATTCCGAAGCAGAGAAGCAATAGCCCTTCCATCCACCTGCTCATCCTGGGCTTTGCTGGAAACAAATAGCAGACTGGGCTACCCAGATGCTCCTAGAGTCAATGCTGTAAGCTCATCATTTACTCCATGGAGATAAAATCCCAGATCAACAACAACCACAGACAGTTTCTGGAGAATCAGGTTGAGCCCTCTGGCTTTGAGAGATTCCGCTGCTCTCAGGCAGTTTTAGTCTGATGGGTCCACCTTTGTAGTTCTTCCTGTTTCTCTCTTGCAGTTTGCAAAACACTTTGCTCTGTATGTTTTCAGGGTTTTGACTGTAATGACTTCAAGAGTTTCTTTTTCTGCTCTCTGTATCTGGAGCTCTAAAAGCCTCTTGTATCTATCTGGATGTGCTTTTATGTCCCTAAATTTGGGGACTTTTTGCTAGAATTGATTGAGAATGTTTTCTATGCTGTTGGAATGGAGATCTTCTCCTTCTAAGCCCATATGTTTCATGGTGTTCCAAAGGTCACATGTGGTCTGTTCATAGGTTTTTCAATTTTTATGATCATTGCTGATCAAGTCTTCCAATTACTGTGAATTGTCTTCAACTCCTGATATTCTCTCCCCCATATGGTCCACTCTATTGGTAAGCCTTTCCTCTGAGCATTTGATTTAATGTGTTTTTAATCTCTAGCCTCATTTAAGTCGAGACTTTCTTCAGTATTTCTCTTTATTGAATTACATTTTCATACCCTGTATTGACTCCTGTCTTTCATTCAGCTGATTGCTTGAATTCTCTTTCTTTGACCACATTTACATCATCCTTTTGAATTCCTTGTCTGGAACTTTATCTAAGTCATTCTCATGAAGGCTGTTACTCTGGGGTTTGTATGTTTTAGAGGAGATGAGCTGTCTTGGTTTTTCATATAACCAAGTTTTTGTATTCGAATTTGCTTAGATCACTGGTTGGATTTTCTTTTGTATATATCTACTGACTTACTTATTTTCTAATAGGAAGCAGCTGGGTGGGCTTTGAAGACTCTGATACATGGGGTGGTCAGCAGGGGTCAGGTAAATGTGGATGTCTGAGACTCAGAAGTAAATGCTGACCTCCCTGGGTGAGTTGGTGGGTAGACAGCCTGCAACTCTGACAGACCAGGCAGTGGGTGGGCAAGAGGCCTGGCAGGCACTGGAGGTTGGGGGATCTGTAGTCTCTGAGGCACAGGGAATCACCTCATGGAGTGGGGAGTGGGTAGACAGGAAGGATAACAGGCTATCAGAACTAGTATGTAAGTGCTGATCCACTTACCTGTGGGTATAAAGATAAGTATTTAGAAAGCAGATAGGAATTATACTGGGAGAGGAAAAGCCATAGTAGATTCTCCTCTGAGATCTATGAGCTCACTAGCAACAGGTGGTTGGTTAGGTTTTCAGTCACCAGGCATGTTTTCTTCTTGTTCAGTCAGCCTAAAGTCCAATTAGAGAGCTGTAGGGAACCGCCAACACATAAATGTCAACACTGCACCTTTAGAGATATCTCAATGTGATGATCATCATTATGGCTCACAGGTGTCACAGCTCGGGGCGGGGGTGGGGGCGTTATTGAATGCTTTCCTCCCTTGGCAACTTGCACGGCACCTCCTGATACAATGGAAGCTAGTCTTTGGGGAGGAGACTTTGGCACAGATACAGCTTGATTTCTCTCAGTCCTATATCTGAAGTGTATGGTGTCTTCAGCAAAAGGGCCTTTTGAACTTCCAGGGCTCAAGCAAGGGCAACAACAGTAGCCTGTGTTGTTTGGGGAGTGTCATGGACTCCCCTGACCCACAACTCAAGAGAAGTTTCTCATTCCTGACAATTAAGTTTCTGTTACTCTATGGCTCAGAGGGGAGGCATTATCAACCAAGTGGAATGACTTCATTTTAAGTATATAAATATACATATACCTACCTATATAGATAGGTGTATGTGTATATACATACCTATATATATAGATATAGATAAATAGATAGATAGATAGATAGATAGATAGATAGATAGATAGATAGCTATAGATAGATAGATATCTACGTGCATACATATATATGTGTGTGTGTAGGTATATATATATATATATATATATATACATATATATATAATGATTCTGAATGTAGTCTTCTATACTTTTGTTTTAATTCTTTCTCCAAGTTAATTCTGGTGTTTTCTTTTTTTAAAGATTTTATTTATTTATTATGCATACAGGGTTCTGTGAGCATGGATGCCTACATGCCAGAAGATGGCACCAGATTTCATTATAGATTGTTGTGAGTCACAGTGTGGTTGCTAGGAATTGAACTCAGGATCCCTGGAAGGACAGCCAGTGCTCTTAACCTCTGAGCCATCTCTCCGGATGTTTTCTGGAGTATCTGAGATACTGTGGCTTTGAGAAATGTTATAACCTTAAAAATCTAGGCAGCATTTTGCAGGTCGCTTGTCAGAGATCACCCAGGATGTCACTGTCAGGGCCTGGTGTGGAAGCTCTGGTTCTTACTTTGTCTTGATTTCTGACCTAATCACCCCCAGAGAACACAATACAGGGACATACACAACTAAGCAACTGAACACCAAGAAGCAAGGGTCACTCATTTAAGAGTCTGCTTCCACGGAGCCCATGTCTGACCTGTGCTAAGAGAAGAAAGGGGAATTACAGTTAGTTGGACATCTCTTTTCAATTCAGTAGTTTCCATCCCTCATCCAGTGTCATTTACTCATTATACAATAACCATGCAAAGAGACCAGAGGCCTTGAGGACTTACAGACAATTTAGTGAAGTGTTCTTATAAGGTTGAGGACCCTGCCAGGAGAAGTGTTGCTTCTTTAACTTTCTTTTAGGGTCGACACCATGCATAGGTGTCATTTTAATGAAAATAAAGGAATTTAAAGGAAACTTCAAACTGATAATAAAGGTTGCAATGGGTAGTTTCACAGTGTAAGTGGAAGTTAGACCAAGAAGTGCAAGGAAATTCCTAGGAGGAAATGAAGCCAGAGAAGGAGGCCTCTTTATATCCAGGTCAGCATGGAAGCAGCAGCCAAGAGAAGAGGAAAAAGGCAACACTGGATCTGATGTGGGACAGGGTCAGGGTCCTGCTTTACTGTGCAGGCAAACACCAAGGCTTTTCCTGCTTTAATTAATCACAATTTCTCTCCTCTATGATCCCTTCAGCTTCTACTAGACAGAGCCATGGCCTGGGCCGCTAGCTTTGATGAATTCTTTAAGAATTTTAAGAGAGAAAGCAAACTCCTCTCTGAGGAAACCATCACCTTGATTAAATTCCACATTGAGAAAAATGACCTCCAGGAAGCACTGTCTGTAATCGACAGTGCACTGAGAGACATCGAGAATGCCACCCTGAACATTGCTGTGACAGGGGAGACAGGGACAGGGAAGTCCACATTCATCAATGCCCTCAGGGGGGTGGGGCAGGAAGAAGAAGGTGCAGCTGCCACTGGGGTGACAGAGACAACCATGGAGAGAAAGCAGTATGACCACCCCAAGTTTTCCCAGGTGAAAATATGGGACCTGCCTGGCATTGGGTCCACTAACTTCCCACCACAAAGTTACTTAACAGAAATGAAGTTTTCTGAGTATGACTTCTTCATTATCGTCTCTGCTACACGCTTCAAAGAAAATGATGCACAACTAGCCAAAGCCATCAAAGAGATGAAGATGAATTTCTACTTTGTCCGAACCAAGACAGATAATGACTTATATAATGAGCAGAAGAGTAAACCTAAATCTTTCAATAAGGAGAAAGTCATGATGAACATCCGAGAAGACTGTTCAAGGCATCTCCAGGACATTCTCTCCAGTGAACCTCCAGTCTTCTTGGTCTCTAACTTCGATAGGTCTGGCTATGACTTCCCAGAGCTGGAAATGAAACTCCTAAGGGAGCTCCCAGCCCATAAGCGCCACATCTTCATGCTGTCCTTGCACAGTGTTACTGAGGCCGCCATTAACCTCAAGAGAGATTCCTTGAAGCAGAAAGTCCGGCTAGAGGCCATGAAGGCTGGAATATTGGCCACCATTCCACTTGGTGGCATGATCAGGGATGATATAGAGAATCTGGATGAAACATTCAACCTCTACAGGTCTTACTTTGGGCTGGATGATGCCTCATTGGAAAAGATTGCTGAAGATTTTGACATGTCTTTGAATGAATTCAAGGTGCACCTTCGGTTTCCCCATTTGTTTGCAGAAGACAATGATGTGCCCTTAGGAGACAGATTAGCAAAATATATCAAACACATTTCCTCTGTTACTGGTGGACCAGTTGCTACCTGCATTTACTACAGAAAGACTTACTATTTGCAGAATCTCTTTCTGGATACTGCTGCAAATGATGCTATTGCTCTTCTTAATAAGGAAGCTCTTTTTGAAAAGAAGGTGGGAACATATATATCTAATCCCCCCGATTACTGGGAATGATGGGAAAATGAGGCACAAGCTCCAACCAGTATTTGCTTTTGGCCTTGCTTTGGACACTAACTCACAACCTACTGCAGAGTAACAAACCTTGTCTGTGGAGCACCAGAGCATTCATCCTTTTCCTCTTCTGGAGCCAGAAGCTCACTGTTGTAGTGTAGCCATTCCAACCTTGATCTGGAAGTTCCAACTCCCGCTGAGGCTTCGGTAACTGTCACGCCTACAAGGTAGGGCCAAGAGAGGATCCTGAAGACCCAAGATCCAGATGCACTGTCTCTCTTGGTTCCTGGACCCTGAACACTGGAGGTAGGCTGAGCAGAGTTCTCCAGAGAACACCGCTGGACTGCGACGCACCTTTCCCACATGCTGCAATCTACCTATCCCTTCTCTTGTAAGTTACGCCACTAAATAAACCTCCTTTTTAACTACGTGGAGTGGCCTTAATTTCACCAATACACTGTGTCAAGTGTTCAATGGTGTTGTAGCAGTAGAAGAAGAATCATCAACACTGTGTGAATGCATGATAAAACCTCATTTCCATTAAAATTGTACATAAATAACACATAATAATATGGATTTGATATGCAATTCTGTTATAAAATGAATCCTAGATCTTTAGCCCCTGTGAAAGTCTTCACACACTTCTGTATTTTCACATTGCTTTGAGGGGTTTTTGAAACAGCAGCATCTGGTGCCCAACATTTATAGACAAACACACCTCCTTAAGAGGAGTGATTCCCCACACACAACAGGCACACAACAGGGGGGGACTGTGACCATTAGCCAAGTTCCATGCCAGAGTAGTTTGGTTAAAAAAGAATAGAAGAGTAAACATACCTATAGATCCCCTTGGTCCATACCAATAAAGAAATTTATTTCATACTCTTCAATGCAAATCTGAATGAACTGGAAATTCACACTATGTGAATGGCAACTGAAACTCTTCATTTGACCTAGTGGCATTAGGAGCTGTGATATGACACCTAGTATACCCTTTTGTCCAATCAGCCTTACCCAGAAATATTCATTGTAATGAGCCATTGGTCCAGGTCAAGGCCTCTGGCACACCATGATCACGAGACTCTAACAGAAACTCCCCTTGGTTATTCTGCTGTTGCCCCAAGACCTGAAGATCCTGTGGCTACTGTTCGGCAGGACCAGTCCCTTCACATGCACCAGTGGGTCATAGATGGGGTAGATGATAGAGTAGGCCAAACCAAGGCCCAGTATCTGGGTCTGGATGGTAGCTGAGCAATTCAGTCCCAGCCACTGGGATCATCCCCTTCAGTAGAGGTGTGGAGCCAGCTCTCCTAGATCCCTGTCATTGGGAATAGCTCTCCTACAGCCATGGTGTTGGGTGGGGCCATCTCCCTTGTGTGCTGAGGCCAGCTTTTCAATGAGGAGTGGTCCTCATTGTCCAGCAAGGGGCAGGGCCAGTGATGGGAGGGACTGGCTCAGCAAGGTCCTTGGATTTCAACACTGCTGGATTCTATGATGCCCCGTGATAACATGGGACATTGACATCAACACAGACCCCAGCTGCAGCAGGAACATGGGCCCATACATGGCCCTTAGCAGCATCTTGGGCCCTGATGTCACCATGGCCCCAGTGGAAGCACAGGTTACCCAGATCAACACGGTCCCCACGGCAGCATGACCCTCAGAAAGCAACATGGTCTCAGGTGACAGACCAAAGCCCAGGCATCTGCACAGTCCTTGGTAACAGGAGCCACAGATGTCAACTTAGTCACTGGTTGCTATATGGCCATGGAACCAGACATGGCCTCATCAGCAGCCTAGGCAACACTATAGCCACTCAGATTGGCATATCCAGGGGAATGGCAGGGCTCTCAGACATCCATATGGCCATAGGTTGAGGCCTAGACCCTGGACATCCCTGTGGCTTTTGGTGGCAATATGGGTCATAGATGTCAACACAGACCCTAGCTGGGGTAGACCCCAGACACAACACGGCCCTACACAGCAGCTCTCCCCAGATGGCACCCTGATTCGGAGAGACAATCAGGCCACCCATATCAGTGTGATATCAACTGCCTTCCCTTCTTCAAATCAGCCTCTTTGCACAGCACCTGGACCATTCTGGTTCTCTTTGTCTCTCATTTCTCCACAATATATTTGCTCATCATAGTGGCATGGACAAGCCCAGTGTCTTCAGCCAGCCTGGGGTGTGAGGACACAGGATGGCCTGTGGTGTCTTTGACCTTTGACCAGTGGCACTGGACGGGCCTGTGGATGCCTTCAGCCAGCCTGGACTCTGGAAGAACAATCTTAATGTGAGGCAGGACCCTCTTCTCAAGGCAGGGGATTCTGGACTGCCTGAAGTGGGTAAGGAGAGTTGAACATGAATGCTTTTTACCTTTCTCTTTTTCCTGTGTTTGCAATGGGACCAGTTCTCTCAAGCCTCTACTGCTGTGATTTGCCCACTGTGGTGCACTATAACATTGAACTGTGACTGAAAGAAACCCTTTCTGCCTTAAATTGCTATTGCCAGGGTATTTTGTCACAACAACAGAAAAGAAATTCAGACTGACAGCTAACACTGTAGTGGGAAGCTGTTCCATATTTGACCTGGAAGTACTACCCCCAGTGAGGCTTCAGGTAACTGTCACACCTACCTATGAACTGCCAGTGAAGCGGAACCAAGACAAGAGCTCTCAAGACCTGAGATCCAGATGTGCAGGCTCTCTTGGTTCATGGTAATCCTGGATGTTGGATGGTTGACTGAGCAGTACTCAAGAGAACACAGCTGGACTGCACTTCACCCCTCCCAGATCCCATAATCTATCCCTTTACTTGTTGTAAGTAAAACCCCAAATAAACCTCCCTTTTAAATACATGAAGTTGCCTTAATACTTCCACCAATATCTTTGGGGGCTGGAGAAATGGCTCAGTGGTTAAAAGCACTAGCTGCTCTTCCAGAGGTCCTGAGTTCAATTCCCAGCAACCAAACTCAACTCTTTTTAAAGCACCTGTATAATTTCCACACTCACAGCTTTCCTACCAAAAGAGGAGAGATGCATGCATGGCATTCCAAGAGCAGAAAATAAAGTGCATTTTAGCTCAGTTTTAGAGATCTCCAGAAAAACAGATCAGTAGATCAAAGCCCGTGTCCTCTTACAGCTCCGTCGATGTTGACAACATATTGACATCAGTTGCTGCTGTGTGTGGTCACCCAAATACCTGACAAAAACAGAGGAAGGTCTGCTGTATCTCAGAGTGTCAGAGAACTACAGGCCATCACTCCAGAGGTGGCAGGTGGCAGAAGCAGGGAGGTCCATCCAAGCAGAAGGCTGTCTGTAGGGCAGCAGAGAAGAAAGAAGCAGATAGAGCTGGAGGACAAGAAGTAGGCAATTCAAAGTCCTGGCCCTCAAGACCTACTTCCATTCCCCTGGCCCTTGCCCCGGGCTCCACAGCATTAAATATAGGAGCCTGTGGAATACAATTCAGATTCCA